TTCTACGGAAAATTAACAAACGAACACAGACGTAATATTATTTCGTTACCAATTAGGGTATTAAGAAAATTTCATTTTCCCCTTTCACAATTTAAAAACTCGTTTTTACCTCTTCGTAGCTGGGGATTAATTTTATTTTTGTAACATTTAAAATATATTTTCATGATATTTATTAAAAGCATAATTTATATACATTTTTATCCCTAACTCATCAATTATGTTATTCCATGAGTGATCCATGGTTTCTTAAATTATGTCATTGGATATAGTAACTTGATTTGTTTATCAATTAATATTTCATAGGCATTATTAATATCTGTACAAGTATATATATTTTCCCAATCGATTTTAGTTAAATTTTGTTCTAAAATTAGAAAATCAATTTTTGGATAAACTATTTCTCCATCTATACTATGAAATTTTCCATCAATACTTACTTTTACTGTTATTGGTATTTTTATAATTGCTACTTGTAAAGTTTGTTCATTAATTTTTCTTACGAATGTATGATCTAAGCATGAAATTAATTGGTTTATTTACATATGATTCAAAACCAAACACAGTCATAACAAAATCACCTACATAATTTGTCTCATCCAACAAAATAATGTTTATATCACTAATATAGATTACGTCTGTTAACACAATTTCCAATTAATTTCAGAACCAGTATACTGAAAAGCTGCATGACTTATAAATAGCTATTATCAGTATATCATTTACTTCTAAATGTATATTAAACATTTTTTACTGTTAACATTTTATTATTTTATTTTGTTCTTGACACAAACTATTATAACTCCAGACATGTTATACTGTCTGTTGTTATAAAACAGTATATACTCACCTAATAGATACAAATTTGCTTAATTTTTTTATCAATGTATCAATCAGAATTAATACATATATTATATTTTCCAACCTATACATTATTCGTTCAATTTACGTAATGAATTTATTTGGCTCTTTCAGCTATAAATATTTTTTTAAAATTTCTGTTTCATCTCAGCAAGTTGAAGCCTTTTAAAATTCTGTTTGATATATTAAAATTCATTACCCATTTTATTCCATCAGTTTATTTAAACCCTCTTTATTGTTTCTTACTTTCTCAAATCTGTTTCCTTCTTTTAACAACACAAATTTAAAATAAGCATTTTTTTAAATATTTAGCTTTGTATAATACTGTTTTAATGTGGTGTTAGGTGTTCATTCAAGTAAATTTTGAATTTTAAATCTATGT